GGGGGGGCCGGGCTGCCTGGTAACCCCTCCCTGTCCGGGCCTTGTCGCTCAGTACAGGGGCGGGGCCAGTCGGCTGACCCCTCACTCCCTGCCCATCTGCGGTCTCCAGGCCCTTCCGGGATCCCCGCCCCTGGGCTTTCAGGGATCCCGGAGGGAGCCGGCCTGAGCTCTCCGCCCCCAGCCCCTAACCCCGTTGGACCGAGCGGACCAAACCCCCCCATTTCCGTGAAGGGGCAGGGGCGGGGTCATGAAGTGGGCCCTTTGCCCGGGGGCGGAGCTTTTCCTGAGGGGGCAAGGCCAAGGCATCCCGAATTGGGGCTGGTGGAAGGTTATTAAAGCTGGGGTGGGAGGATGCGCAGGGTATTGGGGTCAGAGAGGCATTAGCCCAGCTCAAGCCGGGCTGAGCTGACTCAGCATCCTGTCCGCCCCCCCTTGCCAACCCCCCCCCCAACCCCATCTCCGACGGCTCTGTACTCCCTCGGGCAGCGATGGGAGATGGCGCCGGTGTTGCCCCTGGGGCTGCCCCTCCAGTCCCGCATCCGACTGGCTCAAGGGCTCTGGCTCCTCTCCTGGTTGTTGGCACTGGCCGGTGGCCTCACCCTCCTCTGTAGCAGCCACCTCCTTGTCCAGCTGCAGTACCTTGGAACCTTCCTGGCTCCCTCCTGCCCATTCTCTGCCTTGCCCCAGGTTGCCCTGGTAGCGGGTGCAGTGGCTCTGGGCACAGGACTAGGGGGTGCAGGAGCCAGCAGGGCAAGTCTGGATGCAGCTCGATACCCTCCCTGGCGAGGGGTCCTGGGCCCGTTGCTGGCGGCTGGCACTGTCGGAGGCGGGGGACTCCTGGTCTTTGCCCTGGGGCTAGCTCTGGGTTTGCCTATGAGTCTGGATGAGGGGCTGGAGGAGGGTCTGGGGACTGCCTTGACTCGCTACAAGGACACAGAGGTACCTGGGCACTGTCATGCCAAGCTGCTGATGGATGAACTGCAGCTGAGGCACCACTGCTGCGGGCGCCATGGCTACAAGGATTGGTTTGGAGTCCAGTGGGTTAGCAACCGTTACCTGGACCCCAGTGACCAGGACGTGGTTAAGTGAGTGATATGCTTCTCTCTCTCTTTCTTCCTTCTTCTCCCTAGGTAGATATCCTCCTGTTACCTTGAAACCGCACCTCTCACTACTCAGGCACATAGTAGAGCACAGTGGTTGAGAGAAAGAATTGTAACTCTACCATTTATCAGTTGTGCACCCAGGGTATGTTGCCAAAGTATTCTGGACCCATTTACTCATCTGTAAAACTCATCTGAGATAACAGTACCCGTCTTATAGACAGGTACCTATCTTAGAGTTGTCGTGAAGATAAATGAATTATGCATGCCTGCCGTGTAGTAAAGCAGACAGTAAATGTTTTGCTATCTTTTTTCTCTTCTCAACCCCTGTAGCCCTCAGTTTTCCTACAGGCCTGTCTGTAGACATCCTAACACTCCTGCCCCCTCCTCTTGCAGTCGAATCCAGAGTAATGTGGAAGGCCTGTACCTGACAGATGGGGTTCCCTTTTCCTGCTGCAACCCCCACTCCCCCCGGCCTTGCCTGCAAAGCCAACTCTCAGACCCCTATGCCCACCCTCTCTTCGATCCCCGACAGCCCAACCTAAACCTCTGGGCCCAAGGGTGTCACCAGGTGTTGCTGGGCCACCTGCAGAGCTTGGCAAGCACATTGGGAAGCATGCTGGCTGTCACCTTCTTGCTGCAGGTGAGTAAGCACAGTGTCCAGGGCCTCCTTCCAGCTGGGACTCCACTTGTCTCCAACTGTCCTAGGAAGCATTGGCCCACTCTTTTCCCTGGCTTCCCCACAGGCTCTGGTGCTCCTCGGCCTGCGGTACCTGCAGACAGCACTGGAGGGGCTTGGAGGGGTCATCAATGCAGAAGAAGAGACCCAGGGCTATCTGTTTCCTGGTGGGCTGAAAACAGCATGGCTACAGGGAGGGGTTGCCCACAGAGCAGCGCCTGAGAAAACCCCACCAGAAGTACCTCCCAAGGAGTTGGGATAGGGGTTGGGGAAGGGGAAGAGGGACAGATAGATGGACAAGTGTGGAAAACTCACAACTCCTTACCAGGGCTTCAGGTAGGGTCCTGGAATAAGAGGTGTTAAGTATAGTAAGCAAGCTAGAGTGGGGTGAGGGAGAAAACCAGGAGTCCTAGGGCCTAGCCCTTGAAGCAAGAATCACCAGCCATCAGAAAAGAACAGGATGACAGGAAAGTGACACAGGAAGACTGGAGACTGCTTTGGATATATAGATTTAATAAAGCTTTTGGATGGAAGCCACTGATCTTTCTTATTAGGGGGCTAAGAGCCCTGAAATAATTGATTTCTATCTGAAGGAGAAGTCAGTACTCCAAATTTCTGAGCCTGACCATGGCTTGGCCTGTAGGAACAGGTACCCACTTCTCTAAGGATGAGAAAGAACAAGGATGAGATGTGCCGAGTAAAGAAAAACAAGAGGCCCCACCAGGTTGAGATTCTTTATTCTGGAGGTAGGAGGGGGGTCCGCATGCTCAAGTGGGGAGGGTCCAGCCCAGCTCCTTCAGCCCCCGAGTGCATACCCAGCCCCAATAAGTTACCCAGTTCCTTAGCCACCCTCCCTCCCAAGTCCATCTGTCCTTTTGCTCCACCCCAGACAGGGCTGACCTGGCTCAACACAAGGGCTGCTTGTCCCCAGCCTTGTGGGCAGTGCCACATGGCAGGCTGAAGGAGGGGAGGAGCAGCTGGGCCATGCCCTAGGGCTGGAGGGGCTGCCTCTGGCTCTCAGGGGTCAGGATTTGGAAAACCACATCCTGGGCAGGCCATGTGCCCAGTCCCACAAGGTCTGTGCCTAAAATAAGGTGGAAGTCAGGGTGGGGCTGCCATCACACCTCAATGGCAGGGTCTGAGCCCCGGCCCTGCCGCTGTAGCTGTTCCTCCTGCTTCATCTTGGGTTTCTCTGTCCGTGTATGCCACACCAGTACCTGTATGGGAGGGTTTCAGTTAGAGCTGGATCTAGCTGTGGCTTAGCTTCTGGGGCCATCGGGGTAGAATGGATTCTCTGACTCCTCTACCTTCACAGTGTTGTCTGCAAAATGTGAAGGGCTGGGAATGGGGCTGACTTTCATGCCTCTAAAATGGGGCTTTGTCCCTTAACCCTTTCTGTGCCACATAGGTTACCAGGATTGTGGGAGATGCATAGCAGAAGACCACTGTCCCTCCCTGGCTCCCAGCTGCCCCTTCATTAGAGTAAGCAAGGTGGATTAGAGAGCTGTTAAGTTCTCTCCTTGTTCAAACACCCATTCCCATGATTTCACCCCACTTTTCCCATCCTATCCATCCCATAGCCAAGTTTCTGTGCCTACCTCCACCCCCTTACCCGAGTGCAATTGGCAGCCCGTGGCTCTAAGTCCTTGGGATCCACTAGATGGCTCAGAAGACTGCTCTCCAGGTGTCCTCGGGGAGCAGTAGCATCAAACTGGGCACTGGGCTTAGCCAACAGCAAGGGCAGAGCAACAGCAAATCCCGCCATATCCACGGGGAAGGGCCTGTTGGGCTCCCATGCTGTGTGGAAGCCCACAACCCGGCCGTCCTGTACCCGAGGGCCCTCGAATCGCAGACCGCCCACCAGCCCCACGGGCCACACTGAGACACCACGAGTCCAGCGCATCTAACAGAGGTCAGGAGAGAAGAAACAGAGAACAGGTAGCCAAGGGGAAACAGAAAGAACCACTTGGCTCACTCCGCCCCACTGCTTCCTGCTCCTCACCCAGCAGTCTACAGCAACACTGGTAATCAAGGAAATCGATGAAGCTGGTGCCACCTGGTCTCCTTCCCCATCCCCATCCCAGTGCTCACCTCCTCAAAGAGCTCCCGGCTATAGGTGTTGTCATCATCAGCAAAGTACACGACTCCCTGGGTCCCCGGTGGCGGTGGGTCCTTCTCCCCCCCCACGGCGCCCCCTCTGCCCCGAAGCCACTCCAGGGCCTTGTTCCGCTGCTCTACACCACGGGGGCGAACCCAGCCTGGCTCGCCTTCCCGAAGCCGCTGGGCCTTGGGGGTAAGGACAGCCAGGTGTGTGAAGAGGAGGCCAGAGGCAGACAGCAGCCCCGAAACCAGTGGGGTAGGGCCATCGGAGTCCTCCACCAACAACCAGTGCAGCCGGGGAACCAGGCTCAGGGTCTGGGACAGCCTCACCAGTTCTGCCTTCTGCACCAGCCTGCAGGGGAAAAATGCAGGAAGGAAAGGGGCAGGTACTGTTGGCCCACTTCAGCCAAGACAGCAACTGATAGCTTCTCTTGCTGGCCTCTCCCCTGGCTTTTCCCAACTCCCTCTTTCTTGACTGTTAGCTCCATGCTGACATTCACCTGCCCTGTCCTTCCAGTCCATATTGGTCACCCACTCACCTCCAGAACTCTAGCTGGGGAACTGTAAAAATTAAGGGTATAGTCTTTGGCATCAGACTGGGTTGGAATACCAGCTTAGCAACTTAAGTGAGGTACCACGGAAATGGCTCTATCTGAGCCTCAAATTTATTCAGTTGTAAAATGGGAATACTGATGTTCTAAAATGTAAAGAAGATAATGACCTTTTTGGCTTTTGTTTTTTTGAGACAGGGTCTGACAGTTGATTAGGACCTCACTAAGTTGCTGAGGTTGGGCTTTAACTTGTGATCATCCTGCCTCAGCCTCTGGAGTTGCATGGCATTTTAAGCTTGTGCTACCATAACCAGCTAAGATCATGACATTTTTTTCTTGTGGTGGTGTTGGGGATTGAACCCACCACCTTATGCATGCAAGGCAAACACTCTATCAGCTGAGCTCTTTTCCAGCCGAAGATAATGACTTTTTAAAACACCAGTAGACCAGGGTCTTTTCCTTCTGTGCTGGGTTTCCAGGGAGTGGAATTTTAGAGGAGTCCTTTGGCTCATTACTCTTCACAGAAGGAAGAAAGATTGATTCGATTTTAGAGAAGGCATTGGGGATGTGAGGTTCAGCCTCTTCTGAGCTTCTATGTCATTCAGATCTGTCTGCGTTCCCCAAGGTTGGTGGTGTGTGTGAAGATGGCCTCTAGAGCCACCTGGGCCTAGAGGGGTCAACCATTTAATTCCAGGGAGGCATGTTTAACAGGCCCTCTTGGCTACAGATACAAAACCACATTCCAAAATTGGTTTTATCAGTAGAAAAACTACATTTTTGATTTAAAACAAAGCAATGTAAAGCATTCAGCACAGTGCCTGGTAAAGAGCAACACACTGTAAACAACAGCTTGTGGAACCATCTCTAGACTCTAGTGTTACTGTCCAACCTCTTCCTACATTTTTATATGATGCAGAAAATCAAACCCACGGTCTTAGATCATACTAGCTAAGAGCTCTGTCACTGAGCTACATTCCCAGCACTCTTCTTTAGTTTAGTCAGGGTTTTATAAACTTCTCCACCATCGGATCACCAAGAAGAGTTAATTCATTGGCAAGCTCAAAATTTATTTGAAACTTTGTATTTGTATCTTATAAATTAGAAGGAATTTTATAATCTGTATCCTAGTGTGCTCTTATCTACTTTAATAGAAAAACAACCATTTTCCCACAGATCTTTTGAGTAAAGATATGGTTCCTTTATCCACGTATTTGGCATGCTCTACTTTAAAGTAACATTCCTCTAGCCCAGTACCTCCCCAAATTCATCATCAACCCCAATTTCTTGGTTGAAGGAACCCTCTTGGGTAAACCAAAGCCCATACCTGGCGTAGGTGGGGGTAATGACATAGATAGTAGGCAGGGCCTCAGGTTCAGGGGGCTGGGCAGGGGCTGGGGGTGGGCGACGGAGATCAGCTTGCAGCTCGGAAATCCTCAGATCCTTCTGCCGAAGCTGCTCAGCAGCTGCCCGCAGGGGAGGGAGACAATCACATGGCTGGCCTGGTCCCAGGAAGCACCAATAAGGAAAGGGAGTGGGGGGCAGAGAAACACAAGTTTGTTCAGCAACCCAAAGGGCCAAAAACCTTCCTCTTTAACCTCCCCCCTTACAACTTCTTTTTTGTTCCTTTGTGGTGCTAGGGGTCAAACCACAGCCTTAGCACAAGTTAGGCAAGCATTCTACCAAGGAGCTACATCCCCAGTCTATCACTTTTAGCCTTATTCTATTCCTCTGGTGGTGGGGAACTCACTGCCTCAAATTAGCAGCCTCTCTCCACCTTCTTTTTTTTTTTTTTTGGTACCAGGGATTGAACCCAGGGTGCTTAATCACTGAGCCATATCCCTAGCCGTTTTTATTTTATTTTTTTATTTTGAGAAAGGGTCTGGTTAACTTGCTTAGGGTCTCACTAAGTTGCTGAGGCTGGCTTTGAACTTGGGATCTCCCCAGCCATTGGAATTACAGGTGTGTGCCAACATGTCTGTCCCTCCACATTTAAAAGTCCATCTGTTACATTTTTTTGTGTGTGGCACTGGTGAACCCAGGGCCTTGTACATTCTAGACAAGTGCTTTACCAGAGCTATTTCTCAGTCCTGTTACAATTTTTATTTTGATATTGAGTCGGTTGTCTGTGCTATCCTTTCTATCTACTAACCCTAATTTTACTGTTCTTAATTTTTACCTTCTGGAATTATAAGAAACAGGTCGAGGTCTTTAACTAGGACAGTCTCTCTCTCTCTCTCTCTCCCCCTTTTTTTTTCTTTTCTTCTCTTGGTGCAGGGGATTAATCCTTAGGTCTCAAGCATGGTAAGTAAGCCCTCTACCACTGAGCTGCATCCCCAGGCTTTTATTTGCTGTATCCCCTTAGGTGCTGGGGATACAGCAGGGAATAAAACTAAGTCGCTCAGGCCGGAACTTGTGATCCTCCTGCTTCAGCCTCCTGAGCAGCTAGAATGAGAGGCATGTCCCACTACTCCCAACCAGACTGTCTCAAATACCTGAGGATCACGAAGTGGCACTCTCCCTAAATCCCTGTATAAGAGGAAGGTTTCAATCTGCTCCCTTAATGACGACCAAACACTTATCATTAAATTCACTGATTCCATCATTGGATAAATATTTATTGAATAGTCCTCCTAGGAGGCACTGCCTTAGGTGCTGGGGATACAGCAGGGAATAAAACAGACACAGTCCCTGCCCTCACGGAGCTTTCACTTTACTTGAGAAAGCAGATACTAAGCAAAGAAACAAATTAATAAATCACTACAGAATGTGATAAAGGCCATGGAGGAAATAGAGAATAGAAGGGAGTCAGCAGTAATAAAGGTGGTCAGGTAAGGCCTCTCAACGAGGTGACATCCAAGCTAAAGAATGAGAAAGAAGCGGCCTAAGGGCAAGGAGAAAAGCGCCGCAGGCAGAGGGAGGAGGTTAAGAGCTTAAGAGGACGCTGAGCACGGGGTTCTCAGGAAACTGACAGTGAGCCAGTCTAGCTGAAGCAGAGGGAAGCAGAGGGGAAATGGGGTTTGGCCGGAGGGTGGCCGCAGAATCATGCGGGGCCTTGCAGGCTCTGGGAAGGAGTCTGGATTTCATCCGAGGCGCGGCGGGAAGCCGCGGAGCGTTCTAGAGGGTAGTGCACCGCGGCCGCAGAGGGCTGTCCAGAGGGCCGAGCAGGATGAATGATGTCTGCGCGGGGTTCCTCCCCAGGGCGGGATGCGCGGCGGCCGGCGCCCTCGGGCCGGCCCGCCGCACCCCTGCCCCGCCCCGCTCACCGAGCTGCACCAGCGCGTAGAGGAGGCCGGCGATCGACACCAGGAAGTAGGCGAGAAACACGTTCTTCAGCTTCAGCTTCATGGCCGCGCCGCCGCGGGCGCCCGAGCTGGCGGGGTCCGGCGGGGAGGAGGGGCCTCCGCCTCAGCCCGCCGGCCCGCAGGCCCCGCCCCCGAGGCGGCCCCGCCCTGCGTCCCACCCTCCTCGCGCTCCTAGACCATCTCCCGGGAGCTGGGTCTGGCTGCGCCGCCAGGAGCCTACTTCCGGTCATCGGTGGCTCCTCGCCGATTTAATTTCCGGGCCCACAGGTAGGTTGCGGGAATCACGGGATGGTGACGTCACATCCGCCATGTGGAACACGTGTGGCCGGCCGTCAGAAAGCCGGGTGGGAGCGCATGGGACCGACTTCCAGTCCCATCACTTGAACATGGAATTGCATAAGGAATCCAGCCCCTGCGCCCAGATTTTCTGTGCAGATTCATTCATGGCTCAGTAATAACATCCGTTAATAGTTACACAATACTTGTTAATACTAATGAATGAATGAAATGTAGGGCCTCCCCGGTTCCCTGGGTGTCTTATATAATCCTCACTGTAATCCTTAGATGGTATTGTTTCATTTTATAGATAAGTAGCCAAAGTTGATAAAATTGGTGTTAATGCCATGGGGCAGTTTTCTTAAATACTCATCTCCAGAATATTGTTTCCTTTGACTCACAGGGTTTTGGGGTTTGTATTTTTTTTTTTCCAAACCTACTGTTTTTCAGCAGACTATTATGAGTCTCCATTTCAGGGAATTCAAGAATTGTTTCCTGAGCTAGGGAATTCCAGGAACACATCCTTTACCACCTCACAAGCATAAACCACCCTTAGCAATCATTTTTCTTCAGAGACAAAACAGGTTCTTGTGAAACAATCATGATTGTAAGATGTGGTCAGTGTGGAAGGTGCAGCCGCCAGGGCGGCGCAACCCTGTAATCCCAACGGTTAGAGAGGCGGAGGCAGGAGAATTGCAAGATCAAAACCAGCCCCAGCAAAGAAAAAGAGGCAGTAAGCACCTCAGTGAGTCCCTGTCTCTAAATACAAATACAAAATAGAGATAGAGCTGGGGATGAAGCTCAGTCGTTGAGTGTCCCTGAGTTCAGTTTCACCCCTCCTCCCCCCCAAAAAGAAAGAAGCTCTTCTTGTCACTAAAACAATGGGAGACTTTAGTTTCTTAAGTGATACATAATATAAAAATTGTATAAATTTAAGGGATACCTGATGTTTCAATACATGTATACATTGTGTAATGATTGAAATCAGGATAAATCTTTCTTCTCAGTGATCATTTATTCTTGGTGAAAATACTCAAAAATATTTTGATTTCTTTTTCTTCTAAAAAAATTTTGTTCGGTACATTATCTATAGTCCCCCTAGTATGAAATAAAATATCAGAACTTTTTCTGTTAACTACAATAGAGTTAAAGCAACTTCCCAGCTGGGTATGATAGCAGCCCAGGTCTGTAATCCTAGCTCCTGGGAGGCTGAAGCAGGATGGTGGCAAGTTGGTGGACAGCCTGGGGAATTTAGCAAAACCCTGTCTCAAAATAAAAATATGAGAAGAGCTTGGGGTGTAGCTCAGTGGTAGAGCACTTCTGGGTTTAATCCCCAGTACAGCAAAAAATAACACATTTTTTTTTAAATCAAATTTCTCTTTCTCTCTCTCTTTTCCCCAAACCCCAATGTTATCTCCCCCCATTTTAGGGCACATGGAAATTGAACCCAGAGCCTCAGACATACTAACGAAGTGTTTTAGTACTGAGCCAATCCCCAAGCCCTAGTCTTTGAAACAGGGTCTGGCTATATTGCACAGGGTGAATTCCTGGGCTCAAGCACACCTACCACTTAAACCTCCATAGTAGTTGAGACTATGGGCTCTTAATGTTAACAGTCTGCTTTGCAGTGCTAGGGATTGAACTCACAGTTTTACACTTTAGGCAGGTAAGTGCCATACATTGGGCTACATGTCTACTGCCCCTCCAAGAATGGGAGACTTAGTAGTACTGGGGATTGAACCCAGAGGTGCTCTACCAGTAAGCTGCATCCCTAGCCCTTCACTTTTTTTTTTTTTTACACAAATGGAGCCCAACTTTTCACTTCTCTGGTTGTACATGATGTAGTCACACCATTCATGCAAGCATACCCAAAGAGTAATAATAATGCCCAACTCATTCCACCATCTCCCCCCACACCCCATCTACTCCCTCCCCTCTGTCCAATCCAAAATTCCTCCATTCTTCCCTTGCCCTCCTCATTCCCTTACATTCCACTCCCCATTATGGATCAGCATCCACTTATCAAACATTTGGCCTTTGGTTTTAGGGGATTGGCTTACTTCATTTAGCATATTCTTCAACTCCATTTACCAGCAAATGCCATAATTTCATTCTTCTTAAAGGCTGAGTAATATTCCATTGTGTATATATACATCACAGTTTCTTTATCCATTCATCTATTGAAAGGGCATGTAAGTTGGTTCCAGTTTAGCTATTATGAATGGAGCCGCCATAAACATTGAAACGGCTGTGCCACTGTAATATGCCGATTTTAAGTCTTTTGGATATAGACAGGAGTGAGACAGCTGGGTCAATGGGTCAAATGGTTCCAAAGTTTTCTTTTTTTTTTTTTT